ATTATGTTGTAGCTGGTGTTGTTAGGAGTCTGTGGGTTCAGACGGATTGATGATCGGACGTCCCGATCTTAAGTTATTAAATTTCAAGTTAAGGTGAGCGATCGTCATTCGATCGTGTAATGTAGAATAATCCGACCGTTGGATTGGGCCCAAATTGTCGCAGGGAGATATCGGGACTATTTAAAGTCCATTGGTGCGATCGGATTTGGAATCCGAGGTTGTGGGCCCAAGGCGGATTTTTGGAGTGTCGGTTAGACATGTGGGGCCCACGGGACCCAAATAGTGACCTTTTGGACAATGGGTGTCATTGGTCATGATTTGACGTCGACAACACGTACGTCACAGTTTTGTAGTTGGTTGGATGAGATTTGATCACTTTGGATTCCCGGTTGGTCCAAAGGGCAATCTCGTCATTAGATGCGAAATCTTGGATTTTGGAGGTTTGTGCTAAGTTGAGCTTTGTACATTGCTTAGGTACGGTTGGAGATTGAGTTGCTCGTTGAGGTTTGAGATTGAGGATTCGTTAAGTTGTTGAAGACGCAGCTTGGACGAGAGGTGAGTAAATCCATCCTAATCGTGAGTAAAGTCACGAATTATTATATTTATTATAAGGTGACCTTGGATAATGTTAATGGCTATAATTAACATGTTGGTTGTGACTTTATAAAATGTTTTAATTGGTTTAAAACACATGAACTTGTTCATCAATTGTCCATGAGGTAAGTGAAACCTATTTTGTTTTGAATTAATACTTTTTATTAGAGACTTTGGTGTTTAACCATATAACATATGTTGTGGATGTATGGTGGAAATTCATTCATGAATAACCACATAAATGTATATAATAAATATATATTGCTGTGATTGGTGTATTTGGCTATAAAACAATGTTTAATGTGAAATGACATTTTATATTGTTTTGGTGTTGGTGTTTTGGTGTTGATGGATTTAGGTGAGAATACCTTGAATCCCTTCTGAGTTTGTCAGGTGGGCATTCTCGTGGCAAATAATGAGGGATAAATTACCCTAGGGAGCAAGACCCAAGAACAGTTAGAGCTCTAGTCTGGCGCCATCTAGTACTCATGACTGGAGTGTAATCATGAGTGAACACTACTTTGGTGTTTTGTAGTGTTATAGATTAGAGGTTCATAGTATTCTCTCTTCTATCTGTCAAACAATTGACGTGTGAAAACTACTTTGAAATAAAGAGTTTTGGTGTGGTCACAGGTGGTGATCGAAACAGTTCTTTAAATAAAATAAAAGAATTGTGATTGTGATGATATTGATGATTATGATTACCTTGGCTATACAAGGATTGTGGTATGCTAATGAAAGTGCATGTGTCTGTATATTATGTGTGATTGACATATTATACTGTGGACGTGGTTGACTCATACAAGCTTTAGAAAGCTTACCGGGTTGTTCTGTGGTGAACCTGGTGCACTATTCAATGGTGTAGGGGAAAATCCTGCAGGTGGTAGAGACGGTGAGTAGGAGAATTAAGGTGAGGAGCAGGAGGCTCATTGGTGGT